AACCGATACGATGATAAACCCAGTTTCGCAAGAAAAGCTGGGGGTGGATAATTCATGTAACGGGAAGTTCCTGAAAGAATGTTACATGTAATTTTCTTAGGGATAACCCGATCATTACAAATAAAGTGATAAGCACTAAACCCACCGTTTACCTGGTCAAACCTTAGGACCACAACCAAAATCCCCTCTCGATTCCTTCAATGAACGAGAGGCACACAAATCGAGCGATCAAACCTTCTTACAGTTAGCCTTCCTACAGTTAGGATCGTCTCAAACCTCCCAATTGGTCAAACCTTCTTACAGTTAGGACCACAGTCAAAATCCCCTCTCGATTCCTCCAATGAACGAGAGGTCCACCTTTAAATCAAGTGATCAAACCTTCCTATAGTTAGGGTCACCTCAAACTCTCGCTTGGTCAAACCTTCCTACAGTTAGGACCAAAACCACGATTTACTCTCGATAAACGAGAAATTCATCTTTAGTTCGGTAATCAAACCTTCCGACAGTTAGGGTTATCCGAATCTTTTCGATTCTCGGAGTGGAGATCCTTCCTTCCTTGTCTGTTGGGTTATAAAATTCTTCCTTCCTTGTTCGGGGAATAGAATATAAAATTCTTCCTTTCCCACACCAACCCTTTTCCAAGAATTTAGGATTCATCATAGGAAGTTTATCCCGAATCCTAAGCAGGGATAAGTCTGCGCCTAACACGCGCTGCCGGTTTAGTCTTTCTCCGCAGAAAAAGATAACAGAGTTCGATTCTGGGGTATTTTATCCTGAAACCTAAGCAGGGATAAGTCTGCGCCTAACATGCGCCGCTTGTTAGTTCTTAACCGTTAAAAAGAACACCCGCCCACATATTCAACATAGTGGCAGGTTGTTATTAATAACACCAAAATCCATGCCTTACACGCATGGGGAATTTCATCCTGAATCCTAAGAAAGGATATGCCGATGCCTAACACGCGCCGCCGGTTTAGTCTTTCTCCGCAGAAAAAGACACCAGAGTTCGATTCTGGGGTATCTTATCCTGAAACCTAAGTAAGGATAAGTCAGCGTCTAATACACGTTGCCGGGTAGCCTATTCCCGTAATAATGGCGAAGTCTATGTATTCAAAGTCGTAGCAAAGAGTCTAAGGGAGTTCATTCCGTTAGCACAACGTCACATGTGGAACGGATTTAGACAATCTGAATGCTAGCCCGACTCAAACGGTAGTCGGTAAAGGCTAATCAAATCCGTTGAAGGCTGGGGGTTAGCCAAAAATCCTAAAGTCAACGCCTAACACGTGTCGTATTCCCATAACAATGGCGAAGCCTATGTATTCAACATCATAGCATAAAGTCTAAGGGAGTTCATTCCTTTAGCACAACGTCACATGCGGAACGGATTAAAACAATCCGCATGTAAGCCCGACTCAAACGGTAGTCGGTAAGAGCACGTCAAATCCGTTGAAGGCTGAGGATTTGCCAAAAATCCTAAAGTCAACGTCACATACACGTTTCTGTTTAGTCTTTTCACAGGAGAAAGACGAAGTCTACGTATTCAATATCGTAGCACTAAAAGGGTTAACTCTTTTAGCTTAACGTCACATGCGGAACGGACTTAAACAATTCGCATGCTAGCCTGACTCAAACGGTAGTCGGTAAAGGCTCGTCAAACCCGTTGATGGCTGAGAATTTGCCAAAAAATTCTATAAATACGAGTCATTGATGTATCAACTCCGTAGATTGGTCTCGTGACTCGAGTATCCGCCACGCTCCAATTCCTTAAGAGCTTAAACTGTGTATACTCCAGCAGACGTACGAGTATAAACTGTGTCGAATGCCGGACAACGCGTTACAATGAAGCTCGAACGTCGGACAACGCGTTATAATGAAGCTCGAACGCCGGACAACGCGTTATAATGAAGCTCAAACGCCGGACAACGTGTTGCAAATGAAGACTCAACGCTAACGATCGATGGTCAGTGCTATGTTGAAACAACAAACACGAGCTAAAAAATAGAAAATCTGGAATTGACTTCAAGTTCAAAATTCCGACAAACGGTCAGACAATAAATGCAGTGCCGGAACCCTTGCAGACATTCGACAAAGCACCGAATAGCCTGGAGGACTGAAGGAATCAAGAATAGAAGTCATTCCAAACATCCCGTCATAACCGATTGAAGGATGGGACAATCATATCCAAAGTATTCCAGACTCTTCTATAAAAGAATGAGGCTGAAATACTTTGGAGGGGGTATCTGTAGGCGTATAAAACTGCTTATAGGTCCCTTAACACAGCTCGACACGGTGATTCGACAAACCAACGAACCATCGGGCGATGAATCCAAGAATGATCGTTAGTCCACAACACCGAAGCCAAGTGACACGCGACGAAGCGGATTAACGAGGCTACGAAGCTAACAAACCGCACGCAAACAACGGAATAAATCCACTCGCATGCGGAATCAAGCTAACGGTTTAGTGAGTCAACGAGTCATCCAACTATAGAGCGGATTCGAACTCGAACACCAAAGCGGATTTACTGCCAAATCAGGATTCGTACTGCCAAATCAGAGTTCAGATCAACAAATCAGAGTTCAGATCAACGACGAAGTTCGGATAAACCGATAAACCGCGAGACCGGACAACCGACGCAACGGCGAACACCCCGGGAAAAGCTCGGCCAAAACCGAGCCGTTCAGCCAGGAGTTGTGTCTCGCCCACACAATGTGTGGCTCGGCCATTGTAAGCCCACACCATGAGTGACTCGGCCATTGAAAGTTGTAAGTCTCTTCGTCATCGGAATGAGATGATTCAGAATGCGTTAGAAAAATGACGAAGAGACTTACAATTTTCAATGGCCGAGTCACTCATGGTGTGGGCTTACAATGGCCGAGCCACTCATTGTGTGGGCGAGACACAACTCCTGGCTGAACGGCTCGGTTTTGGCCGAGCTTTTCCCGGGGTGTTCGCCGTTGCGTCGGTTGTCCGGTCTCGCGGTTTATCGGTTTATCCGAACTTCGTCGTTGATCTGAACTCTGATTTGTTGATCTGAACTCTGATTTGGCAGTACGAATCCTGATTTGGCAGTAAATCCGCTTTGGTGTTCGAGTTCGAATCCGCTCTATAGTTGGATGACTCGTTGACTCACTAAACCGTTAGCTTGATTCCGCATGCGAGTGGATTTATTCCGTTGTTTGCGTGCGGTTTGTTAGCTTCGTAGCCTCGTTAATCCGCTTCGTCGCGTGTCACTTGGCTTCGGTGTTGTGGACTAACGATCATTCTTGGATTCATCGCCCGATGGTTCGTTGGTTTGTCGAATCACCGTGTCGAGCTGTGTTAAGGGACCTATAAGCAATTTTATACGCCTACATATACTTCTTGATGTAGCGGCTGAATCAAAGGAGAAAACTGCTCTTTCTCGTACGAGTGAAACGGCACAGACCCCAGAAAACCCTAGGAATAGAAAACTTCTGAAATAATAATAATCAATGTAAAGAGTTCACAAATTCGTTCCCCCTTATATACGGTATAAAATAAAGCAAGAGTACTAAAATAACATTTGCTAAAACAATTAGACTTCCTAGAAATAAAAACTTTTCATAAGAACTAGAAGCTAGATTAGACCAAAACTCTTTGACGCGTTGTTTGAATGTGAAGACGAATCCCGAAACTCGATAGGAATAGCAAAACGATTCAATATGTAGAGCACATCCCGAACTTTCCGAAAACATATAATAATAGCGATTCTATGGAGAGAATCAAAAGTTATGGTCAGTTGAAGTTGCATGTTGAAATCTGACCGAAAATCATCATCTTTTCTTAGATCGCCCGAGCTCCGTACAATACGATTTCTCCCAAAAAGCAGTGGCAATTGCCTCCACATCACTTCTATACAGAATTAAGTATCTTACTGTAAGCAACAAAAAAAATAATCCTAAGCTTGGATTGTCTCACTTCTATACAGAATTAAGTATCTTACTGTAAGCAAAAAGAAAAGAAAAAGTCCTGAGCTTGGATTGTTTTATTTCTTCTTTGGAACAGACTACCGGTTACAATCAACTAATATGGAGTACCGGCACTAATAAAGGTGAAGGTTAAGAAATATAACAGGCATTGCTAAAAGTTGAGAGAAGGAAGAAGATGGGTTCTCTGTCACATCTGAGCCCTCTTCTCTCTATTTCATTTATAGCCTCTATTATAGAAATATGGTTACAAATATTGATCCCCATGATATCTAGTTACAATCAACTAATAGGGAGTAATATCTCAATGATTGATTACGGCCTTACCATAATACCTCAACAATGATTGCAGTCAGATCATCAAAATTATGTTGCAAGTTTAGCCATGATCTTTGGAAGGAATTGATAGCTTTCCTTCATGAGCAGGTTCACTGGGATCTTGAGTTTATCTAATTGGCTTTCCAGCTTGAGCTGATTCATTGAATCTTGTGCATCTTTAATAATTGATAGCTTCCCTTCATGAGCAAATTCTTTGGGAACTTGTGTATCTCTAAGACCATATGCAGCAGGGGGTTTTCCAAGGGATATTTGAAGGCAGCAGGGGTTTTTTGTGCGGGTGAAATAAATGAGATTGGCCAAAGGGTGAAAAATTCACCCCGGACTTTTCTGACAAGCCCACGCGCGCGGGATGATGGCCAGCGGACACGTGGCGAATTTTGATTGGGCGAGCTTTTTTTTTCCCTCCTTATTTTTATTTGATATTTTTTGAGATAAATACAATGAATTAATTTATAATTTTTATACCATTAATTTTCATTTTTCAAACTCTATAAATAGAGACTAACTTTGTGTCATTTGGACACCAAAAAAAATCTGAGTTTCTACACCCTATTCTTCTTCTTTCTACAATTTGAAACTAGTTTCTTCATGGATCCTTCACAAAACTATCCTAATTTTTCCTACAACTACAACTTTCCTAACCAACCTCAAAATACCCTCCCTCAACCACAACATCCAAATATACAACGCCCCGAAAATACTCAAAATACGGGGATGCAGCCCAATTTTCAAATGCCGTACATGATGCAACCAAATTTCGGCATGCAATATCCTTATCTCCCTTACGGTTATCCTCCAGTTCCGGGAAGCATCTATGTTTCCTCCCATATGAATTGTCCTAACACGGAGTCGAGTGAGCCAGCGACACCCCGGTTTAGTAGCGGATCTACAGATATCCCAGAATTTTCCACCCAAATGTCTTTGGGAAATGTTGGTGGGGATACTCCTCACAGTTTTGTCCCTCCAACCCAACAATCAGCAAAGAGATCAAGTTATGAAACTTGGACCACCGAAGACAACATACTTTTACTAACTGGTTATTTTCACGTTAGTAATGATAGTGAGTTGGGAAACAACCAAAAGGGTGCAACTTTCTGGGGTAAAATTACACAGTACGTGAATGAGAACGCCAAAAGTGGAAAGGAGAGGATTGTGTCTCGGTGCCATAGTCATTTCAAAGACATCAACAGAAAGATATCCAGTTTCATTGGCTGCTACAGTACTGCATGTAGGGAGAAGCGTAGCGGTTGGTCCGATGAAAACTACATATCCAAGGCAAGAGAGTTGTACTTTGAGAAAATGGGTACGACGTTTAATTTGGTGGATGAGTGGAAGGTGGTTCGTAATCAACCCAAATATATGACAGGAGGAAATGCATCCGGTAGTAGTGGCTCTAAAAGAAAGAGTAGTGGTGAGGATGTTGAATCATCAACTCCTACCCTTGTACGTCCAGAGGGTAGGGACGTGGCAAAGAAGAAAGCTAGAGGTTCCTCTAGTAAAACATCTGTGTCAAGGAAATCAAAGGGGGCAATTGAGGAGGAGTTATCTAAGCTAGTCAGTGCTCATGAAAAATTTGAAGAGAAAAGATCAAGTACTGCTTCAGCTATGAATAACCTGGCTCATTCCAAGAATATGGAGATGTGGTTATTCTTGAAAAACAAACCAGATCGTGACGATGAAGATGAAGAAGCTTATAATATGTTGAGGAAGAACCTGTTTGGAAAATAAGACCTTCTCAAGAAGTTATGATTGTGTGTTTTCTTTCTGATGTTTTTGTGTGCCGTTTGTTTAATTTTGGAGTTGTGTAGGTGCCTATGTTTGTTGAATGTATTAATAAAAGTGTTGTTTATGTTTGAATAAAATTGTTGTTTATGTTTCAATAAAGCCGATTGATATTGACTTCTCACTGCATAATAGTACAAAAGATTACTACTCACTGCAAAAATAAACAAATGTTGAATTGACCTTTCACTGCAAAAAATACAAAGGATGAAATGACTACACCTGCATAATAGTACAAAAGATTACTACTCACTGCAAAAACAAACAAATGTTGAATTGACCTTTCACTGCAAAAAATACAAAGGATGAAATGACTACACCTGCATGATAATACAAAATATGAATTGACAACTCTCTGCACATGCATGCCCTATGACACATGTCTCTGCAATTGCATGTGAATTCAATTATTTGAACAACTACCCTTCATTATATAAACTGATCAGATGCACATCATAAGTATACCTATCAACATTTCAAAAATCATAGCATCCAATGGATCCTTTCCTAAATGAGTTTAGTCTAGAAGAGTTCCAACAACAATGGGAAATAGAAGAAAAAATACTTGATAGGCAGCGAGAACTTCTTGAAGAATTGCAAAGGAGAAGCGAACAACCACGTAAGAGGAAATCCATACATAGAGATCATCATGCAGCGCATGAGAGACTCATGGCCGACTACTTTGCCGAGTCATGCACTTACACTGACGCCCAGTTCCGACGCAGGTATCGAATGAAAAGGCCTCTCTTTCTACGAATTGTGGACTCTATATCAAATTACGACGATTACTTCACACAACGGCGCAATAATGCGGGCAAGCTTGGGTTAACGCCTATCCAGAAGTGTACGGCTGCCATACGCATGCTCGCATATGGAGTCGCAGCCGATGCTTGTGATGAGTACGTCAAGATAGGAGAATCCACTGCTATCGAGTGTACTCGCAAGTTTTGCGAAGGGGTAATAGCATTGTTTCAAGATGAATACTTACGACGACCAAATGTGGAAGACTTGCAGAGGTTGCTCCAAGTTGGACAGGAACGTGGATTCCCAGGGATGATTGGAAGTATTGATTGCATGCACTGACAGTGGAAAATTATCCTAAGGCTTGGCAAGGGCAGTTTACTAGTGGACACAAGGGGACGGCAACAGTTATCCTCGAGGCAGTTGCGTCATATGATTTGTGGATATGGCATGCTTTTTCAGGGCTTCCTGGTAGTTTGAATGACATAAATGTACTAGATAGGTCACCGGTTTTTGACGACATTGAGTCTGGTGAAGCTCCACGGGTAAACTTCACCGTGAATGGGTGGGAGTACAATCTTGCATACTATCTTGCCGACGGAATCTACCCTAAGTGGCCTGTCTTCGTGCAGTCAATTCAAATGCCCCAAGGCAACAAACATCAATTTTTTGCCAAACAACAGGAATCATGCAGGAAGGACGTGGAACACGCATTCGGGGTACTCCAAGCACGCTTCGTTATTGTCCGCCAACCAGCTAGAATGTGGAATCTTGATGTCTTAGGAAAGATAATGAGGGCGTGCATTATTTTACATAACATGATAGTAGAGGATGAACGAGATACGTATTCGCGAAACTGGGAAAATATCGACTTTGAACCGTCGAACAATGCTAGCTCTAGCGCCTCTTTCAATGTTCAAACAGACGTGTTGCCGGAGTTTCAAGTCCATGTTCAACACCGATCTGAGGCAGATAATCAGACTAGAGCGGAACTACGAGATAAGACCCAACATATTCAGCTGAAGAAGGATCTCATCGAGCACATTTGGCAAAAGTTTGGGACAACCTCCGATTAGATTTACTAATTTCGTGTGTGTTTTCTGGCCTGTTTTCAATAATTTGGGTGTGTTTGGTTTTCCGTATGCTTAATAAAATCGTGTGTTATTTTATGTTAATTTAAAAATATTATTGAAAATTAAATTAATAATATATATTTTAATATTATATATTATTTATTGAGTTATTAATAAATTATAATTATAAATATATGAGTTATATTAATAATAATAATAATAAAATAGTAATATATATGAAATAGGAAAAAGAATGAATAAATATGGTGGGGTATATGTTGAAGTGATGTGGTTTATGGTGGGTCACAAATAAAGTAAAAAACTTTCTGAAAAATCTCTTGCTGTAGAGTTGATAGGGAAATGAAGATTATTGAATTAAATAAAGTGATGTGGCAGGAGAGAAGGAGGTGAAATTTCACCTCCTGCTGGAGATGGTCTAATAGAGGTTACCTTGCTTCTCATGGTGTACTTTTTGCCACGTATGCTGGGCTTACACTCATATGGGCAGTTCGTAACGTGTTTTCTCCGGAACTCGTTGCCTTTAGTTGACATAATTTCAGTGTGGTGGCAGGTAAATTTCTCTGTGTTTCACCAAATTTTCAGTTTTCTTCGTCACAACAAATTTTCTTCAAAGGGTAGTTTTAATATAGGGTATTTTTCAATGCAAACTCCACAAAATATATGGAAACAAGCAGCCCCTCCACAAATAGCATATATGGGGAGATTACTGTACATGTTGAAGTTTCATAGAACACCACACTCTTCAAAAACCATACGCATGGGAGTTTAAAAACAAATTTGGACAATACGGGTGGTGTTTTGGAGGAGCTCTTAGGATCTGGAGGAAGGGGGCAAACGAGCTAGTAAAAGAAAATAGTATGAAGTTTAATTTTGGCTATTTATCATACATCAAATGGCTAGAAAACAACTTTTTATTACGACTCCACTGACCTTTCTACTGGACTAATCATAATTACAACCCTTCATCCTCTTTCAATCTATTTTCTTATACTTCTGGCATATTTCGAGTGATGGCGAATTTGTTTCTGAGTCATAAATCGAGTTTAATTCCTACAAACATTACACCTTTCCATTTTGTCTCTCAATGTTTCGAACAGGCCCTTTGAACCATTTTCTTGCATCCAAAACCCACCACAACATTATCAGAGACAAGCACAACCCCAAGGCAACCGGCGCGTAATTGAAAGTACCCAACTTAATAGGATAAGCTGTAGGTAAGAGGAAAACTGAACAAGTATAACAAATCCACAGGAACGCAACCAAGCAAACCGGTCTTCTTGCTCTCCCCAGATAAAAGGGGCCTGGCTCGAAGTTCTTTTCTGCCATGGCCAACCTTGCAAGGATCGGAACTGCATAGCTACCAACCCATCCAATGGTGCAGATTGAGATGATTGCGTCGAAGATGACGTTGCCTTGGAGAATGGGGAGGCCGATGACAATGCATATGGCTGTACATAGACATACTGCATTGGTAGGGGACTTGTGTTTTGGGTGCAACTTGTGCCATAAGGATGAGAAGGGAATTCCATGGTCCCTTGAGAATGCATAAACCTGCAAAATGATGATGATGGTTCTTGAAGTCTCTTTTATTGCACCGAAACGCCAAATTAATGATGAATGTTCTGCTACAATTTAATGCTCTAACATACTCCTGTAAAGTAAATGTCCTTTCACGGACTGAACCTCGACAATTTTACACAATAATATCTTTTTTCTAAAATCTGCTATAAATGTGTCCATGGTGTTTGAATCTGAATTGTTTTGATATCTTAATGCCCTTTCTGTTAGCACCAAAGTGACATAGTACCACTAATCGATGAAAGAAAGAAACAAACACAGAAACTAAGGCTCCACAAACAAACATCTTTCACTACACCGAAACTCCAAAGTGGCGATGAGTGGCCAAGGTTATAGTCTTACTCTATCTTAGTATCTTAAAGTCCTCTCCACTGCACTTTAAAAAGAACCAAAGTCATGGCGAGGAAACTTATGGTTATAGAATGATAAATAACATGTTTTCTTAAGGTTGAACAGATTTTTTTCAGAATGCTTTTCTAGGGAAAGTTGGAGTTTTACATAATCAAGAAAATAAGCCAACTATTTCTTACCACTCTGGCTGCACAAGCTGTGGATGAGAGGCCAGCAAAGAAAAACGAACCCCAAATAACAATCAGAAGAAGAATGGCTCCCAATGAGTTATGGTATCTCCCATGAAATGCATCATATAATATTTGTGCCGGAACAAAAGTTCCAGCAGTCTCATTGCTAGCATCGAACAGGTAGTTAAAATTCTGCATAAACAAATATAGGGTTAATTGCAGATACACACCCTGTAAAGTACTTGTTTAGCACTTAAACCTTCTCAACTCGAAACGACATTATTTCCTGAGTAAGATCGAGATGTCATATGGTAATACATGACAATAAAATACCTTTCGCCCTCAGTCTAACTGAAAAAAAGACTAATTTTTCCTTTAACTGGAGGGTAAAAGAGAGAAGTCGTTGAGGTTCAAGGGTGTAAGTGCTAATAAAAAATTTAACGAATAAGTGATTACACTATCATAGTATAGGGTGTATCCAAAGTTAACCAATAATTATATCAACTGGTTAAGTAATAAAGGATTTATCTGATCATTCAATATGTATTAAACAAAATCGAGATAAATATCCAAAAAAAAAGATGATAAAAGAACCTGAATGCTGAAAGTGAGAGCTAAGAGATAAACCCATCCAAATAATGAGACGATACCAATACTAGAAAGAATAGCAATCGGACCATTTTTATCAGCACCTTTAGTTTCCTCTGTTAAATGTGCAGCAGCGTCATATCCAAATAATGAATATTGGCTAACAAGAAAGGATAAAATGACGGCATATGCCTTGCTTCTGATCCCAGTTAATTCTGGTGAGGTTTCAAAATGGGTGAATACATAGGAAGCAGATTGTGTAGTTGGTGCCACCAATGGAAGTGCTATGACAAGAATCAAGCCTCCAATAACCTGCCATTAGAAAATATAGTTGAATTTAGATCATTATACTAAGATTTGGAACATTAGAGATGCCCATTTTGGGAAAACTACAGTGCATACATGATCACAAGCAAGGTAAATG